GGAGCCGGCGGCTCAGTGCTGTGCCCACGGGTGGGTGCGGGGCGCCGGCGGGGGGTGCGCGGGCAGCATGTGCCGCGTGCACTGGGCTGAGCGGCGTGTGAAGCTCTGGAGACCGGCCCTGGGCTCTGGCTGGGACGCCCACGGGGGGGTGGCGACTGGGCTGCGCTATGGACCCTGGCTCGCGAGGGGGCCAGCACACAGCTGGGGGATGCGGCCGGGGGCCGGCCAGGGCTACTTGCCGAAGGGGACCTGGCCAGGTCAGTGCATCGTGTGACCAGCTCGTGTCGGCCCCGGCCCCAGGAGAACGCTGGATTCCCCTCCCTGTGGGCCGGCAATCAGTGAGTCCGGGTGCCTCCATCCTGTCTCCACGCCGGGGGCCGGGAAGGATTTGCCGGCCCAGCCTGATGCAGGACGTGCCCCAGAGACGTGTTCCAGCTCTGCTCAGGGCCCTTGGACAGGTGTGATGGGCTCTCTGTAACCCGCCTACTCCCCGCCTGGCCTTATCAGATGCCAAAGGATGGGCCCAGCTAGCTCCTTAGGGTGAGATCCAAGGTGTAAATTGCCCTGGAAGTGCAGCTGGTTCTTAGGGACTGGGGGAACCTGTTGGGAGGTGGTGGTGGGTTCTAACCTCTCCCCTGCGTGAGGTGGGGCTGGGGGGGGTGACGTAGTGGGGGTACCTGGCTGGTTTCTATGCTGCTGGCTCTGGGGTAACCCCCACTGGGTGCCGTGGGTACCACGACCCAGCAAAACAGGATGAGTCACTATGCAAACCAGTGGCCAGACACCCCCCATGGAGAGGAACAAAGGAAGGTGGAGGCTGCCCTGGCTGGGGGGCAGGGCTGGAAGAGGGTTAGTTAGTTGCTGGCTAGGAGCATGGAAGAGACAGCCTAGGGAAAGGGGCTGGAGTTTAGGGGCCCAGTCTCCCCCATCTCAAGGGGGCCTGAGGCATCCTAGCCCAGCTCTGTGACCAGATTACATCTGTGCTGTGCTGTATCCTGGAGAGGCAATAAACTTCCTTTATTCCACCGGCTGGTGCAGTCTGTTTGTGCCATTTCGGGGTGCAGGAGACGGGGAACCCCCAACGCGCCGTCACACTGGTGTCAGGAGTGGGATGCACTGCACCCCGTGGATGGAGCTTCCAGCGGTGAGCGACAAGGCGCTGTAGAAGCAAGAGCCCTGGAGCCAGGCGTGCTGGAGACAGAGCGAAGCGGTTCCTGGGAATCGTGGGGCGCTGCAGCACTAGACTGGTGAGTCTGCACCGAGGGGCCCAGTGGGCCGATGGCCTACGCCCGACTTTTGAAGGCAGAGCTGGGGAAGCTGTGCAGAGAGAGGGGCTTGCCTGTGCAGAAAGCAACCAAGGCCCAGCTGATTGCCCAGCTGGAAGAGAATGACCAGTCAGGTTTTGGGGGGGGAGGTTAGGTCCATAAAAGGCTTTTAGCCAGGGGATAGAAATGGTGTCCCTGGCCTCTGTTTGTCAGAGGCTGGAGAAGAGTAGAAGGAGAAAAATCGCTTGATCATTGTCTTCGGTCCACTCTCTCTGGGGCACCTGGTGCTGGCCACTGTGGGCAGACAGGATACTGGGCTAGATGGACCGTTGGTCTGACCCAGTCTGGCCGTTCTCATGTTCTTAGGAGGAGCAGCTGGATGAATGGAAACGAGAACCAGACACAAACCAACTCTTCCTTGAGATCCATAACGGGGCTGGGGCCGTTGTTTTTCCTTCCATCCGCCGTCGGCCCCCTGCCCAGGTCAGCCTAAGAGAGACTCAAGGGCTGGGTTAGACTCAAGGCATTTCCCCCCAGATGGCACCAGAAAGCGTGCCTCCCCCACCAGCCCGTTCCCCCATAGCAGCTTTCTCGGGCTCTGGCAATGAGGGGGTGTCGGGGGAACGGCCCCCGCCCTTCCCGTAGCCCCAGATCTCCAGGCTGCGCTCACACGCACGCTGACTGCTGTCTATTTAACGACTTCATAGCCAGTGCCCCCTGGCCTTCCCAATTCCCCTCAGCCTCCTTAAGCCACCTCATTAGCTGGAAATCCAATACAGGCAGGTGGTGTCAGACAGGGCTGTGTTGAGGCAGCAGAAACCAAATAGTCGGTGACGGGGGGCTATCGATTCGTTACCGATCCCAGTGAGCGTTCGCAGGATCTGCTTCCCTGCCGTGGCGCTAACCTGCCGGCCTTCCTGGAACACAGGCCCTGGAATTTGCCGTTCTTCCTGGAGCCGGGGCTCCGATTGCAGCACGAGGGGTTCAGTCTGTGCTTGGCCGCGCCACATGGCCGAGGCTCCGGCCGCTGCGTGTTCGGAGCTGGCTTTCCTGGCAGGCAGGGCCGCGCGCTCAGCCTGCTTGGGGAAGGCCCACTCTGCCGTGCCGGTGCTGGCTGCACACTCGGGCTCTGCCGCTGTTCTGCGGGCGGGGGGGGAGGCGTCCGGCGGGGGCGCCTGCGTTCCCCGCTGGTGCCGGCGGATCCGGCTCTCCAGCCAGCCAGGGAGCCGGGCTGTCGAGTCGGACGGGGCCGCTGTTACATGGCGCATTCGACCTGTAACCCAGGTCTGTGCTAAGACGCACCCTGGGCTGCTGCCCGCACGGACAGACCTTGGCAAAGGGCAGGCTGCTCCCACACCTGGGGCCTGGGGCTTCTATCCTTAGCGAGGGGGGGCAGGAAGAGAGGGGCTGCAGCTGCCTGTAGCTGTGTGGGCCAGGCCGGGGCCCTCCTCCTGCGTGTGGAGTCCCAAGGCCGCCTGTTCTCCTGTCAGGCACAGATGGGCACATGCGCCGCCCCCACCCCATGTGCATTGGTATCTGCTGCACCTGACACTGAGTGGATAACGACTCTCTCAAACGAGCTGCTAATGAGGGAATAATTACAGCAGCTGGGGCTTGTTAGGTGGTTTTTAATTACTATTATTTTCCTGGTTTGTTTCACCTACAAAAAATGGCTCTGTTCTCCTGTCAGGCACAGATGGGCACATGCGCCGCCCCCACCCCATGTGCATTGGTATCTGCTGCACCTGACACTGAGTGGATAACGACTCTCTCAAACGAGCTGCTAATGAGGGAATAATTACAGCAGCTGGGGCTTGTTAGGTGGTTTTTAATTACTATTATTTTCCTGGTTTGTTTCACCTACAAAAAATGGCTCAGAAATGGGGTGGGGACAGGCGGGGGAGTGGGAGCCCCAACAATCTGCCTCGTAACCCCTCCTTTCCGGTGGCTGAGCAGGCAACGCGGGGCTGGTGCCAGATCTGAGGGCTCCGGGTGGGGCTGAGGACAAAGGGAATCTCTGGTGCTCTCCTCCCTGTCTCCCAGCCAACAGCTGCTGCTCTCCCTCCCCCCCACCCCGGGGACTGGACCCCTGTGCTGGGGCCGTGTCTGCATCCCACGAGCTGCACCCAGGGGTGCTGGCAGGACAGAGCTCCCGTGGGCCTTTCTCCACCCGGAACGAAGGGCTGAGGTTCCCATCACGCCCTGGGGCTCTCCTGCCTGGGAGCGTGTGCTGTGGAGAGCAGCCCTGCCCTGGCTCTGGGGTGTGTCTGGGGGAACCAGCAGGTCAGATGCTCTGTGGTGAAGTTTGCTCTGGTCTGTTCGCCCTGGTTTCTGGCCCCAAACAAGCCTGGGCAGGTCGTGTGCCTCCCTCGTTTGTTTGCTCCTTCGTAATGAGTGTGCGGGAGCCACTGTGAGCCAATGGGCTGTTGGTGTTTGCCGGTGTCTGCGCCGGGCGCTCGGCCGCCTCGTCCGATGGCAGGTCTGTGCCCCGGCAGCTGGGTGCTGGAACCGGGAGCGTTTGCCGGTGTCTGCGCTGGGCACTCATGTGACTACGCATTGGGGGTCCCCCGTCTCCTGCAGCCCAAAATGGCACAAACAGACTCCACCAGCCAGTGGAATTGAGGGTGGTTTATTGCTCCTTCAGGATACAGCACAGAACAGATGTAATCTGGTTACAGGAACTGGGGCTAAGAGGCCTCAGTGCCCCCTTGAGATGGGGGAGTCCCAGCCCCCCTCCCCAGTTCCTTCTCCCCTGCTTTCCAGCCAGGAACTAACTCCCTCTCCTCCAGCCCTGCCCCCCAGCCAGGGCAGCATCCACCTTCCTTTGTTCCTCTCCATGGGGGTCAGCTGGCCAAACCAGTTGGGATACCCTCTTTGCACAGTGACTCATCGCTTGTCTGCTCGGTGGTGCTACAGACAGCAGCCAGAGCGTTAGCAGGTTCCCCCCACTACGTCACAACTCAGCCACCTCATCCGATGGTGGTGAAGTGTCTGTGAACGTTGGTCTGAGTGTTGGGTGACGAGTGAAGGAACCCACGTGAAGGCGGCAGCGTCTTTGTGAGCTGCACGGTGGGGGGGGGCTGCTACAGCCTTTTCGGCCAAGAACCGTGGGGAAAAAAATCTCCCTGCTCCCACCTGAGAGAAACCACTACGTCACAACTCAGCCACCTCATCCGATGGTGGTGAAGTGTCTGTGAACGTTGGTCTGAGTGTTGGGTGACGAGTGAAGGAACCCACGTGAAGGCGGCAGCGTCTTTGTGAGCTGCACGGTGGGGGGGGGCTGCTACAGCCTTTTCGGCCAAGAACCGTGGGGAAAAAAATCTCCCTGCTCCCACCTGAGAGAAA